ATTATAAAACCCCAACCTTAACAGGCAAAAAAAATAATCTATTTTCAATTTAGAGAAATAAAAACACCAGTTTGATAATATTATTGGTCTTTGAGAGTATAACATCAACGTACTTTCCAGATTAAAAAAAAATATCTGTGTGAAAGTATATGTACCCAAAACAGAGGGGAAAATCATTCCAGGGTTGCTGCAATTATTTCAAGTCAAAGAAGGAGCTATGAGTTCAAGAAAAATCAATGTTAAGATTAAATGTAACAGAAAGCCAGACGATGTTTTAAAAAAAGACAACCAGTTTTTCCTCCATTGTGTACTGACAGCTGGAGACTTGTTTCTGTTTTCTACCATTTGCCTGTTACCACGAGTCAGTGTTTCTCTGGGGGTCATACCATGGTATTACCACCAAACTCTCCTGCAATGCAGTGTGAAGCCAGAAGAGCAATGCTGGCCACCAAGTGTGCCTGGTGGAGCAGCCCTGCCCACCCACAGCTGGAAGGCCATGGATGAAGTGACCAGGTGCTCACAGGGCACCTTGGGCATTCTTCCTCCCCTCTGCTGAGCATGGTGGTCACCCAAAAGGAAAAGCCCAGGAGCTCCTGACAGGCTTCCACACTTTTATGATGAGTCTCTGGTCCTTCTGCTTCCCCATGGACTTCCTGGGCTGGCGGCACCCAACTCCTGCCCTGCCCAGGCGAAAAAACCCAAATGAAGGCAGGCTTCAGTCATGTCTTCCAGGAGAGCTGCCGGTTCCTGGGGACTTCAGAAGAAAATCCCTGTGATTCTTTAAGGTCTGCAATACCAAATCTTTCTTTAGCCTAGCTCACACTACAAAGCCACTGCAATTCCTTTCATCTGCCTGGTTTTTGAGCATTTGTGATCTATGTTTCCATGGCAAGTTTAGTTGAAGTTGGCCAATAGGTGTTAGCCTCTAAGTTGCCAGTGACAGATACATGGGCACGCATCCATGCAGGAAAGCAGCATAAATAGCACACAGAGCCCCAGCTGCTACAGGTGCTCCTTAAATTCCCTTTCACCATTGACTCCCTGCTGTCCCTCTGTCACTAACAGCCCAGTTGAAATTTTTTACAGCTTGGAACAAAAATGAAAAAGAGATAAAAATCTCTCACCTTGCACCAGCATGTGCTGTTGGTTTTTTTGATAGCCTTTCTCTGCTCTCTCTGATCCACTAGTCTCAAATGCAAGCAGGAACGACACAGGAAAACCAAGGAAAACCTGCAGATTGTGGCCTTTTAGCATAGTCATTACTTCCATTTGGGAAGTGAAGCGAGCTGACTCTTGGAGGTGCCTGGCAGATGATTGCTGCATCAGATGGACAGAAACAGAGGGTGCCGTGAGTTACATCCTCTCCCTCCTGCTGTGGAGAGGCACAGCCATATGGGAGGTGTCGCGGGAGGGGAGCAGGGGGAAGGCACCCCATTGGAAATGTTGGGGATGAAAACTCCTGCAGCAGCCTTACATGGTGCTGAGAAATGGCAGAGACCCACAGGCAGCAAAACAGACATGATAAAAATCCAGGTACAGTATCCTGTCTCCAGCGGGTTGAGTAAAGCTTGTATGGAGAAACAGTGGATGAATGGAGTTGTCCTGTGAAAGCCTGACAGGTAAGTGGTGTGCTGCTTTTCTTTAAAGGGCAGCAGGGTGTCCTGCTTCTCCTTCTCCCGCTGCAGTCAGAGCCATGGGGATGGCGGTGAGGATTGTCTGCCACCCTGCACACAAGGTGGGCAACTTTCAAAGGGATGGACTGGACACGGGATCCAGGGGGCTGCAGCACGGGAATGGGCCTTGGGTGCAGGCAGCAGGACTCAGAGGAGGGAGGAAGAAGGCAGGGGGTTCATAGGAGACTCTGGAGAGTGTTGCGGGGATAAAGAGGCTGGTGGGCTGAGGGCAGGATGGGAAGACAGGAGGATGCAGTGGGAGCTTTGTGGATCCTCAGAGCTTGAGCCATTCGGGGGGTCTACTTGAGCCATTTGGGTTCTTGCCATTTCTCCCAGGATTCCTCAGAGCTCCTGCTGAGACCAGTGATGGCTCCTTGATCCATCCCCCAGCACTTTCCCTGGCTTCTCATGAGCCAATCTATTCATTAGCCTCCAGAACAGCCTGTTGCAATGAGTTCCTCCATTTAACAATTTGTTGTGAAACGTTTCTTCCTCTTTCATACTTGCTGCCAGATGATTTCAGTGGGTCCCTCCTTATTCTTAAATTATGCAAGGTAATGATTAGTTTGTCTCTATTCATCCGCAAACCACTGATGATTTTCCAGACCCCTGTCATAACCTCCCTCAGTCATCCTTTTTCCAGTTTAGAGGCCGTATCTCTTCTGTCTCTGTTTCTACACCTCTGCTGAGCTGGGAGGAAGAGCACGTGTGGTATTTGTACACAGTGGGTGTGCTCTAGATTTATAGAGTACTCCATATAGTAATACAGTCAGGCATCTTGCTTTGCTCACACTCCCATTTCTAATCACTGCTTGCTTCTCTTCTTCCAAACGCTGTCCGTATGGAACGTTAAGCTGACATTTTCCTGAACAGGTGCCACCATTGAATATATATCACCGGGTTGGATGTATATACACCATTTATCTTTCCCCATGCATTACTTTTCATTTACCAGAAATTAATTTCCACCATTTTACGGCTTGGTCTCTTGTGTCCTGTGATCCTTATGCAATTCGTTGCTATCAGCTTTAGATGGCCTATTTTGAATACAACTGTATTCATCTCTTCAATTCTCTTGTCTGGATGACGAATGAGTACGTTGTGTAACACTGGCCCCAAAGCAGACTGCTCTGAAAATCCTCATCTACTGACTCCTACAGGCATCAACAGTATGTTCCCTTTGCCTCTTATGTTTTAAACAGTTGAAAGTCAAGAAAGACCATCCACCCTCTTTGTCCTGTGATGGCTCAGCTTGTCTAAGAGCCTTTAGCAATGAGTCTTACTTAAAACACTTCTGTAAACAAACACATAAGAGTGCAGCACCCTTCCTGACCTCCTCACGCACTTCTGCAAAGCACCACCTCCACCTAGGAAGTTAAGAACACACACATGCACATATATATAACAACTCCAAGCTGAGTGGTGCAGTTGACATGCCTGAGAGACAGGATGCCATCCAGAGGGACCTGGACAAGCTTGAGTCATGGGCCCATGTGAACGTCATGAGCTTCAACAAAGCCAAGTGCAGGGTCCTGCACCTGGGTCTGGGCAACCCCTGGTACCAATACGGGCTGGGGGATGAAGGGATTGAGAGCAGCCCTACTGAGAAGGGCGTGGGGGTACTGGTGGGTGAAAACCTGGATGTGAGCCACCAATGTGCGCTCGCAGCCCAGAAAGCCAACAGCATCCTGGGCTGCACCAAAAGAAGCATGGCCAGCAGGTCAAGGGAGGTGATTCTGCCCCTCAGACCACTGGAAATTCCAGGTCAGGCTGGAGGGGGCTCTGAGCAACCTGATCTATTTGAAGAGACCCCACTTGGAGTATCCTGCGTCCAGCTCTGGGACCCCCAACATAAGAAGGACATGGACCTGTTGGAGCGAAACCACAGGAGGGCCACAAAGATGATCAACTGGATGGAGCACCTCTCCTGTAAGCACAGGCTGAGGGAGTTGGGGCTGTTCAGCCTGGAGAAGAGAAGGCTCTGGGGAAACCTTATTGCAGCCTTTCAGTACTTAAAGGGCACCTACTAGAGAGATGGGGACAAACTTTTTAGCAGGGCCTGTTGCGATAGGACAAGGGGTAATGGTTTTAAAGCCAAGAAGGCTAATGGCATCCTGGCCTGGATCAGGAATAGCATGGCCAGCAGGAGCAGGGAAATGATGGTGCCTCTGTACTTGGCACTGGTGAAGCCTCACCTCAAGTGGTGTGTTCAGTTCTGGGCCCCTCACTACAGGATGGACATTGAGCTGCTGGAGCGTGTCCAGGGAGAGCCACCAAGCTGGTGAGGAGTCTGGAGAACAAGTCATATGAGGAGAGGCTGAGGGAACTGGGCATGTTTAGTTTGGTGAAGAGGAGGCTGAGGGGAGACCTCATTGCCCTCTACAACTACCTGAAAGGAGGCTCTAGAGAGGTGGGGGTTGGCCTCTTCTCCCAAGGGAATAATGACAGGACCAGGGGAAATGGTCTGAAGTTGCAGCAGGGGAGGTTTAGATTAGGTATTAGGAAGAATCACTTTACTGAGAGAGTGGTCAGGCACTGGGACAGCCTACCCAGGGAGGTGGTGGAGTTGCCATCCCTGGAGGTATTTAAGAAACGTGTAGGCACAGCACTTCAGGGCATGCTGTAATGCCTGAGATTGTTGGTTTGCGTCTGTCTGTGGGTGTGTGTGGTGTGGGTGTGTGTTTTTGTTGGTTTTGTTTTGTTTGTTTGTTTGTTTTTTTCTATGGTTGAACTCCATGATCTCAAAGGTCTCTTCCAACCATGAATATTCTGCTAGTCTGTAAAAGAGGGAAGATTCAGACTAGATATAAGGAAGAATAGTGAGGGTGGTGAAACACTGGCCCAGGTTGCCCAGGGAGGTGGTAGATGCCCCATCACTGGAAATTCCAGGTCAGGCTGGAGGGGGCTCTGAGCAACCTGATCTATTTGAAGATGTCCCTGCTCATTGCAGAGGGGTTGGACTAGATGGCCTTTAAAGGTACTTTCCGCCAGGCAGTCACCCCGTGTGGGTATACTCGGGCCTGCAGGCGGGCTTCCCCCTCAGCCCCGCCACGCTCGCTTCCCTGCCGCCCATCTCGCTGCCGCCGGGCTCTTTAATGGGGCCGGCCCGGCCATGGCCCTCCCCACAGCCGGGAACTCTCTCCTTCAGCCCAGCCCTCATAGCCGGGGACTCCGCCGGCCCGGCCCGCCCCGGCCCTTCCCGCAGCCGGGCGCTCTCCCGCCTAGGCCCGGCCCTCCTCATAGCCGGGGACTCCGCCGGCCCGCTCCGCCCCGGCCTGGCCCTCCCCGCAGCCGGGGACTCTCCCGCTCCGCCCCGGCCTGGCCCTCCCCGCAGCCGGGGACTCTCCCGCCCCGCCCCGGCCCGCCCCCGCTGCCCGGGGAGGGCTGGGCGCTGTCAGGCGGGCGCCCGCGGGCGATGGAGGGGTTGTGGGCCGCGGCGGGGCTCCTCCTGGCCCTCGCCCTGCTGGCCTTCGGCCTGGTCTGCTGCTACGTGAAATGGATCCACGCCAAGTACGACCACATCCCCGGCCCCCCGCGGGTGAGGTAAGGGGCGGGCTGAGGCGGTGGGGCCCGGGGCGGGGTTTTCAGGCCTCTGCAGGGCATTTCCCAACATTTAGTCCCGACGCCCCGTTGCCGTGGCCGGGCGAAGCGGTGGACCTTGCGCCCCGGCTGCTCTGGCTGCCAGGCTGGAGCTGTGAGATAAGCGGTCAGAGAACAAGATGAACACTCCAGGATGAACTGGGGACAGGCCAGGACCGTGCTGGTGTGGGCAAGGGCAAAGTCGAGGAAATCAGGCTGGGACTGGGACAGCACACCGTATCCACCTGCTTCCCGGGGAGGGATGGCACCATGGGGCAGTGCCGGGGATCCTGGATCACTGCCTGGCTTGGGCTGGCGGGGTGGGATGTGCTCACCCTCATCTCCCCGGCTGGTCATTCCATGTGGCCACAGCGGCATGAAACAAGCAGTTTGGAGTTGCCCATCTGGGCTGTGTGTTTGCTTGGGACACTGGGACGCTGAAGGCTCCTGGCCAGCAGCACCAGCCATGCAGGAAGGGCTGTCTTGCCGTCCCACACAGCTCCAAGAGGCACGTGGACACTAACTCCACCGGGCACCTTCCCTGTTCTCCCTCATGAGCTAGGTGTTTGGTTTCTGCCAAAAAAAATTATAAATAAAATGTCATAAGTGATCAAGGGCAGTGAGAAGGCTGCCAGCAAGGCAATGGCAGCATTGTCACAAGGAGGCATGGGTTTTGCAGGAGAGCATGGGCTTCCCATTCAACCTCACCTTGCCCTCCATAACATGCCATGGAAAGAGACACCATGCCAGCACTCTCTTATACAAGTAGGGACCCAAACTTGGCTGTGTAACTCCATGTTTCAGCCTACTTGTGTAATCAGGGTCAGATACTAGGATTAGAGAAAGGATTGATCTTGTCCTACCTGAACCTGCTTGTCCTTAGGTTCATTTCAAGGTGTGAAGTAACACCCTAAAGTAATGGCAGCCTGAGGAACCCTGTTGCTGCTTTCCTTTCCCTTCTTCAGGGTTTGAGGCTTAATGTTGGTGATCAGCCTAGGATCCTTTCCAGGAAGGTTTCTAGTACAGATATGTCTAGGTGGAAGGCTGCACGTCGTGTGAGCCCACAGCACTTGATAGCATTTCAAAAGTGTAAATTACCAGGGACAGTCCAAAACCCCCATTTCAGTATCTGTTGCACAAACACTTCCACTCCTAAATGTCCAAAGGTAAGTAAAATAAAGTACCTCCAGCTCTAAAAAGTCATTTATAAAAACAGACACAAAAAGTAAAGCCAAGGGCTGTGTGTGGTGGTGGTCTCCCCAGTACAAGAGAGATATTGACAAACTGGGGTGAGTCCAGTGGAGGGCAGCCAGGGCTCCTGGAAGGCTGAGTGTTGGGCTGACTTTGCATGGAGAAGTGGCCACTGAAGGGCAGAGGGGATCCACTGGCTGTTTTCAGCTACTAATGGGTGGTTATGAGAAGATGGAGCCGGACTCTCCCTGCAGTTGCAAAGTGAAGGACAAAGGGCAATCAGTGCAAGTTGCCTGAAGGGAAATCCCAACTAGGTGTAGGGCAAAACACCTTCACCACAAGGGTGCTGAAATGCCAGCACAAGTGACCGGCTGAGGCCCTGAGCCATGTAGCACAGCTCTGACTTTGACTGGTCTGGAGCAGGGGGCTGGACTGGTAGCCTCCAGAGGACCCCGCCAACCCAAATTACTCTGAAATGGGATTCATCCAAATCTAAATAGTTCTCAGCTGAGACTGTATCTGGCAAACTGGAGAAGAGCAGCACCAGAAGTAAAGGCTGGCTTGCTTGTCCACCTGGACCAACTCCCCAGGTTGTTGTGGTCAGCAGACCTGCCCCCCAGCCAGCCCACCCACTCACAGCCTGTATTGTTTCAAGCTGTTATCCTCTCTCAGGTGCATGACTTTCCTTTTGCCCTTGGCTCGTTTCCTTTGATACAAGCTTAAGGAAGTCTTCTTTTAGGATGAAGCACAACACGATCTTATCAAAACCTCAGATTTTGTCTAAGGTTTTATGGCTGCATCATTACAAGATTACGTTAATGCCCTTGATTTCCTGGGCTGATATATTGTATCAGAACTAACACAGCATATCTCCAAAGGAGATTTGTGCAGGACAGGCTGGAAAAGTGGGTCCTAGTGGCTTTGTGTCAGTTTTACCGTGTGAATGGCTCACCTGTGAAGAGAGGAGGTCATCTCTTCAAAGGTTTGCTTCGTATTAAAGATTTAATAGCAAGAAATGGGCAAAAGGGATTTCTTTGCAAATACGTGTTTTCAGATGATAGTGTCATGTAGTTATATATACCAAACCAAGCCCTTACTTAGTTTTTCACATGGCATGCAGTAAGTAATTGGGACGTCTCATTAGCGGATGAATCTTTTAGGCCTGTTGTAACACCTGACTTAAGTGGGTAGCAATGCGACAGGGAATGAAAAATATTTCTGAGGATTTGTGTCCCCCACACAAAAAGGGGAGCCATGAGTAGCACCTGGCTTCATGCTTTGCAGATAGAGCGCTTTCCAGAGCTTTAGCTAACAAAGGACTAATCTATCATATTTGGGGCTTTCACATCTTTCTGGAGTCCAGTTACAATGGAGGAGTCAAGCAAGTGAAGGATTAAAAGTTTTTGTAGATGTTGGGTAACTTTGTGGAGTGCTTGTTATTTTAAGCGCTTCCTTGTTCCAACAGAAATAAAGTAAGAGGCTGTTTTTCCCCTATAGCTTGTTTATGCTGAAATGGATGATAGCATGGCTGTCCGTCTCTCAAATGGAAAACAGATCCTGAGCGCAGCTTTCTTCATTTAGAGAGGAGCTTGGCCAAATCTTCCCTCAGATGCACGCAAAGCCAGTGGGAATTTGCCCTCACAGCTGAAGGAATTGATCTCTAACTTTTAATACAGCTATTGTATTTGAAGAGTTAACCCTTTCGCTTATTTCTGCAGTTTACATATTAACCACTGATTATCCTTCTAGGTTGTCTTCTTTTTTCCAGCATTTGAGGTGATGTGGCTTTAGACAGAAGGAAAGCATTCCTAATTTTACTCAGTTTAATTCTATTGACAGAACTGAAGTTGATCTCATCAGTGCGTATTAAAGAATATGTGATGCAAATGTCTGTTGCCTGTACAGAAATATAATAGTTGCAGTGGACATTCAGTCAGCTCAGCAAAGGGCAAAGCAGTTTGCTGGCAGCTCCCACCCAGACCCAAACATCTCCTATAATACAGCAGCAAAGAAGACCTTACCCTGTGTCTCTGTGCTGGTCTTCCTGGCTGCACGATGCACCAGCCTTACCCACGTGAGGGCTGGGCATCGGCACAGCTGGGTGTTATTTTTGTCTTTCCATGCAAGGAGAAAAACATAACCAACGCTTGTATTGCATCACTGAGGAATAAGGATTGCAATCCATACAAATCCCTATGTTGGCATCTTCGTGACACTCTTTACCTTCATTTTCTGCAGCTTTTTATTTGGACACCTGCCGATCTTCTGGAGAATGCTGAAAAACGAGGAGTTTATGCATGATCTCCTCCTGCAGTGGTAAGTTGAGACACATCAGGAACACCAAATGGGGTGGCCCTGTAGCACAGATTGGGTTAGCAAGACACAGAGGCCCCGAATTACATATTTAGCATCACTCAGAAGGTCAGTAGAGGAGCTAGAGAGAGAGCATTGATCTTTCTCTTAATGGCTTTATTTGCTGAAGACTGCAGTAGTTCCCAGTACACACTGATTTGGTTCTTTGGGGTTACTAGGTCTGAACTGTTATATGTTGGTGGTTTGTACCATAATTCTCTTTTTTTTCCTACTCTTCTTGTAGGGCAAAGAAATATGGACCTATTGTACGGATTAATGCCTTCCACAGAGTCTCAGTAATGATTCTGACTCCCGAAGGAGTGAAGGTACTGTGAAATGAAGCTGAATTAACACTGGGGATCAGCCCGTCCCTGCAGAAAGAAAGAGGTGGTGCCTGATGTTCAGGGTAGCGAGGTGCAGCCAGTCTGTGCCTGCAGAGAGGGTGGCTCCGGCCACCAGGAGGGTGAAATACTCTGCTGTTCAGGCTGTCCTGCTTTATTTTCTTCCTTGATTTACCTTGTTACCTTTATTTAAACAGCAGATAAAGCAAGCATCCACCATTTCTGAAAAGCAGGCTCCTCTGCAAGAGCTTAACATCTCAAATGAGTGAGGCACAAGGGATTGAATTTCTTCCTCTAAATCTTAGCAATAACCATGGAGTGAAATTTCAGGTCACTGGGCAAAAAGTGCCAGAGGCATGCAAAACAAGCTAGCAGCACAGGAACTGGGGAATCAGGGGACGCCAAATAATTCATGTAGTCTTCAGACTAATGCTACGGGAGGAAAAGAGTGTGAGTGGCTTTTTATGTTTTGTCTGGGAAATGGATTGCACTCACTATTCACTGACCTGAGATTTGATTTTAGGAGTTCTTGATGTCACCACAGTACCCAAAGGATCGGATGGTCTACAGACGTATCTCCAACTTATTTGGGGAGAGGTAGGCGAAAACTGAAACCATTGTGATTGGAAAATGGTTGAAAAATTAATATCGTCACAGACGTGACAATTCCTTGGACTCAGACCATTCACCTTAGTGTTGGGGCTAATAACTTAATTGCAGACACATGTAGGCAACATGTACCTACTAAATTATGTGTCAAGTCATATGTCTGGATTTTTTTTTACCTTGATAGTACTTTTTCCCTCCCTGTAGATGTTCAGTTAGTCTCAGAATAGTTTGCTTAAGACCATCATCACTTAAATTTTAGAGCACCGAATTATTCTTTAATGCATGGGAGTTTCCAGCTCTTAAGCTCAATAACAAAATAGGGGATTTTTTTTTTCTGTTAGCCTGAAGCTTTTAAAAATATAATTAACCAGTTGTTATATTAATTATTTGCATAACAGCTCTAATAAACCAACATCTTATGGAACTCAGCAGTCCACATGTGCCAGGCAAAACATATCTGCAGTTCAGTTATTGTCCACAGTGGTGCAACGAGTGTGTACTCAAAGCAACGTGGTACTCCCTGCACATAAGAAAAATACAAGAAAGTGGATGTGGAAGAGTTGTCTTTGTGGCTACTCAGGGTTCAGCTGGCTCCCTTGCTGAAAACTGTTCTTTTCCTTGTTTTTCTAAATGCTAGGTTTATAGGGAATGGCTTGGTAACTGTTTGTGACCATGAGCAGTGGCACAAGCAGCGGAGGATAATGGATCCAGCTTTCAGCCGAAGGTAAGGCAAATATCTCTGGAATGATCTAGCTGCTATTTCTACTGTATTTTTTATGATTCTGCCTGTCATTGATTCATTATTTGATATTTAGAAAGAGAAAAAACCCATTTAGTGCCAAAATGACATTTTAATTAAGAGTCCAACACACCATGTCCATCACAAGTATAATTTGATCCTACTTCCCATGGGGAGATGACACCCATATGGGCTCAGCAATGGCAGAAAGGTCCCAGGGCTGTGTATGCAGGAGTGTGGTGATGACTGCCTTATCCTGTTGAAAAACAGGCCTTGGGGATTTGAAGTGGGCAAGCCTCATCACTCACCTGCCTGAGTGATTCCCTACAGGAGATACGGCGTGGTTGATGAGTGGGGAGTTGGTCTGGTTTGCCTGTGTGTGCCTCGATGCATTGCATTTAGGGTCTGAAGATAAAGTCCATTTGAATTTAGCTTATTTTGAAGTATTAAGGCAAATTTACTATAAAGTAAAAAACAAAAATCCTTTATAATTTTCAGTGGAAAATAATGATGCAAATCATCAGCAAAGATGTCCTTTCCAGAGCCTCCGTCACTCATTTTTATTAATTGTTCAGCTACCTGATTGGTCTGATGGAAACTTTTAATGAAAAAGCAGAGGAGCTGATGGAGAAGCTAGAGGAAAAGGCAGATGGAAAAACTGAGTTTAGCATGCTGACCATGATGAACCGGGTGACTATGGATATCATTGGAAAGGTACCAGCTGTCCACTTTCTTGTTTCCTCTGCAACTGGCAGGAAGGAATGGAAGTAACAGGTACCGGCAGCAGGATGGGATCAGGAGCTGCATCCGGGGCACAACACCTTGACCCAGCAGTGCCAGAAGAGCTGAAGGACTAATTGTGCCGCTTCCATTCAGGCTGAGCTGTAGGAAGAGACAGTTAGGGAAGGGTCTGCACAGCTTAGGTGTGGCCTGCAGGATGGGGACCCTTTGCAAAAGCCAGTACAGCCTCATAGCTTCCACCCCTCCGTGCCAAAAAGGGCACAGCAGTGCTTGTTCACCCATGAGTGTCATATTATTATCATTATGTGTTGGTACAAAGTCTGCCTTATGCTTGCTTTTCTCTTCTCTATGCAAAACAGTTTGGGATGAATGGAGAGTAATAGTAAATAATTAATCTCCCCAAATAAGGTGGAAATGTAATGTAGATATTACTCTTCCCTCGCAATCTCCTGCAAGGTAGGATCTAGCCTGAGGTATTTTTAGGGGAAAAGGGGGTGTGAGGCTGTCCTGCTCTTTCACCCCAGAGCCAGGAGGATACAGCAAGTTGCCTTTTTCTCTCCCACTCCTCAGGTGGCCTTTGGCTTGGAATTAAACGCACTGAGCGACGACCGGTTGCCTTTGCCACATGCCGTGCGCATGGTTTTGGAGGGAATGACCAAGGCACGCATCCCCCTCCTGCGGGTCTGTATCCTCCTCTCTTCAGCCCTCTCTCCTCACGTCCAGCTGGAGCCCCTGCTCCTGCACAAGTGGGACAGGGCCCCGAGAGGTCCATGTACCACAAGGAAAGAGCCATCAGTCATTCTTTCTCTCCATTGTGCATTGAGATAAAACTCATTAGTGCTGGCAAAAATGGAGATTTTTGCCATTTGTTCAAGGAAGATGGCAGCCTACACTCAAGGTGGAAGAAATTTGAACTTTCTTACCATAAAAAAATATTGTATTTTTGACCACAGTTCATATGCCAGGAAATTAGGGATGTAATCTGAAATATTTAAGTTAAAAATCATTCCACAGTTACTCGTGAAAGCTGTAGTTCAGGCTTTTAGAGCTCCTGTTTTCCTTTTTGGGCTCTGAGGTGAGATTCTGTATCACATACTGCGGTTTCTCTCGGTGGAGATGTGAGGAATTTTGCTCACAGAGCTCAAAACGTCAGCTCTGACAAGCTCAGATTGGGCATGCCCAGATTGGAATATTTCTCATTTCAACCCAAACCCTTCGCCTGGGGGACATTTACTTTGTTCCATGGAGAAGAGATGTTTTTGTGACAAATGCCATTTAGCAGAAAACAAGGTGCTCACTTGAAGAATAACACTTGGCAGTATTTTTTACCAGCAAAAAGAAGAAAATGACTAAAGAAATTCTGTATTCAGTACATGCCAGGGAAACAGAAGCTGGTAAAGGAGGTCAAAGAGAGTGTGAGGCTGCTGCGGCGCGTGGCGAAGGAGTGCATTGACCAGAGGAGAAAGGACATCCAGAATGGGAAGGAAGCCACGCTGGATATTCTTACACAGATACTGAAAGGAGATGGTAGGGGACACATTGCTGTGGGAGTTAATTTGTCTGTTACCTGTTTTGCCATGAGATTTGGGGAGATTTTATTCTGGGGATCTGAGCTTTGATACTCTGATGTCTTCAGGAGGGTTTTTTCATACTGAAGAGAGTGAGAGTTGCTTTGAAAAATCTCTGTTGCTTTGAAAGTTCCCCATTCCTTTGTGTAGGATCAAATATTGGTCACAAGTCACCACTGAGGTGCCCACTCAGCATCCCCTCCCGATGCCACCTCAGACAAAATGTGCAAAACAGGGCAGAGCATTCTGGCTGTACCAGCTGGGGCACGGGGACATTTTCTAATCCCATTTGCTTTTCTCTCTTGACAGCTCTGGAGGAAACTAGAGATGATGAAAACATTCTGGATAACTTCATCACTTTCTTTGTTGCGGGTTGGTAGCTATTTTAACACTTTGGATATGTCATGTGGGAAGCTGTGCTCATTTTTGGGCCATCTGTAGGGTCATGATTACTGTCTTTGTTGACTCCGTGTGATGCTGCTGTAACCAAGAAGTCGGTTGGGTGGAAGACTGTAGTGTTCTGCGTAGGACCAGATGGGTGAGGTCTGAAGAGAACCCTTGGTTTTCTCATGGGCAAGTTAAATGTTAGCCTCCTTCAGTCATATCAACACAGCAGATTAATTCCAGGCCAGTGGTTTCCAGCCTGCAGTGCAGAGGGCAGCACGGCTTGCTGGGGTGCAGGGCTGTTCCTCACGGGGTCCTGGCCCTTCCTCCCAGATCCTGCTAAACCCCATTGAAAGCATCTTGAATGTAGTCCACGTGTCTTCATGTCACCTCACCTACAGACTTAAATGTCATTCTCACCTGGGGAGCATTACTCAATGGTTGGGAGGAGAGGGCACTGTCACACCTATCAGAAAAATGAAGGGCTGAGATGCTACATGAGGTAAACAGTGTAAACAGATCAGTCTTGCAAGTCAGGGTTTAGGTTCCTAAGAAAGTGAGGTCAAAACACTGTTCTTTCACAAGAAAGACGTTATTGCAACAAATCCATCTTTGCAGAAGTCTGTTTTCTGTAATGTTTCAAAATAATACATATGCCTGCACATGAAAAAATGAAAACTATCCACATAAAGCAGACATTTCAAAGAAGCTGTGTTTTCCCTCAAAGCCAGTAAATGCTTGCTTCTTTGCAGAACCGTGTGTCCCATAATATGACAAGGCAAATATTGAACCTCACTGGTCTGTCTGTCAGGGAACTCCTAACCAGTAGGTGCCAGCTTTGAGTTGAGCAAGATGGCTTGTATCTTTACCAGCTATGTCTTGTTCTTGTTGTTCTTGAAAGCTCCTTATGGAGACTTTACACCCTTTTTAGTGTTTCCTTTAATTTCTAGCATATTTGAAATAAAACATTTGGGGCCTGATGTTCAAGGTGGCCTGTGCCTGTTCGCAGTCACACCAGTAGACCATCTTTGTATCGTGTAATTATTTCATACTAACCTTTAAACCAAATTTTTGTGTTGTTAGGTCATGAAACCACTGCCAATCAGCTGTCATTTACAGTAATGGCACTGGCTCAGCATCCTGATATACTGGAAAGGTACGTGCGCTCCAGTTTGCAAACCCAGCTCGTTGTTAATTTCAAGCCAAACTTAATGATAAGAGTTATTAAAAGGCTAGGATCAATTCCCAATAAATTCTAGCCTCCCTTTCAAAATAAACAGTTTCATAGTCCCAATATATTTAAAATTTTAAGAAGCTTAAGATTAACTACTTCAATTCCATCTAAGTGATTTTTATTCAAAGCCTTTTTACAAAGCTGATCCCGAGTCCTGCCTGGTTCAGCTGCGCTGTACGCACGTTGCTGCATCCTGGTATGAGGCACAAGTTCAGGCAGGCTGGCTGGGAATCAGTAGGCATTTTGCCTGAGGATGGGAGTCAAAATCCAACTAAGTGTCTGGAAAGTAAAAAATGTAGCTTGTCAACTTGCCTAGCAAGAAATTGGCGTCTGCGACTAACATTTTTTAATTTAACTGCAGGGTTCAGGCCGAAGTGGATGAAGTTCTTGGAGCCAAGAGAGACATTGACTATGAGGATCTTGGCAAACTCCAATACTTGTCGCAGGTACCGTAGGAATGAGGTAAAATACCAGCTAGAGCTGTTTGGTGGCACTCCTGCCATCTCATGGGACTGCAAAGAGGAGCCCCAGACTTTAAGCATTTTAAGAGCAATGCCAATATTTGATCCTGAGAGTGTTTGTCCCCAGAGACTCAGCAAGCAGGTACTGTGAGCCATTTGCAGCAGCCTGGCCTTTTTGGGAAGGATGCTCCTCAAATCTCTTTCCAAAATCCCATGATTCCTTCACTGCTTGCTTTAATTATTACCAAGCTGGGAGCTGGAGTGGAGTTGTTTAATTCCTACCTACTCAAGCTGAAACCATAGCTGTATTTTAAGAAAGGTTTGTGACTTCAAGCCCAACCTGTGCGTGAGTCCCAGGCACTTCCCAAACTCACAACTCTATTTTTGCTTGGTTATTGTTAAAGCATTTCCAGCTATGATCTCACTATGCACCATAAACTCAGCAGGATTTGAGGACATCCAAAAATAATAGCTATTTTTTGCAATTTCAGTTTTTTATTATTCTTGTCTTGAAACACTCTCCAGTCATTTGGGGGGGGAATAAAAGTTTGATCTTAAAAGAGGTCTGGTGTATAGAAATGCTGGTTGGTAATGAACTGCAAAGCCAGGGCTTGGCTACTGGCCAGCGTTTGTGTTGCGTGTCCTTTCTTTACAAGATGGGGGACACCAGTAGCCCTCAGGAGAGGCTGAATCGCAGTCCTGGCAGCTATTTTCCCTGCTTGAATTCCCTGTGATTTTAGTAGTCTGCCATGATTGCTCTTCTCTTCAACTGCCCTGTCAAGGTGGGTGATGGTGTTTTACCATTTGCCATTATCCCATCCCACAAATCACTGTGCTTTGACAGCAGATAGATTTCAGAGGTGTATTTCTCATAAGGAAAAGGCATCTCAGTGTGATTACAGAAATCGACAAGTTTCCTTAGGCTTCTCTGAACACCCTTGCAATTATTCCACTCCAATTAGGACGAGGTATCTAAGGCTTTCAGTTTTAGGACAGATCACATGAGAGCCTCTCAAAGCAGACCGTTATTTAACACAACAAATTTGGATCTGTACAACCAAACTCACAATCACGCTTCGTCAAAGGCAGTCCATCACTGGAATATCAGAGACCATGGGACTCCTCTGCTGTCACAGAGGCAATTCTGAACCCTTTTGTCCATGCTTCTTTTTCATTAATCCACTTGTGCATACACACTGTTAATTGCATTTGCATTGCGATGCTAATACAGACTGTTAATTGGGTTTCACTTTGATGAAATAAAGCATTCTTACAGCTCGCTGCCACTAAAAGAAATGGTCTCATTTCATTTTTTATCACTGTTCCCTATTCATTTTCCTTTGCCAGGTTGTTTTTTGTCATTTTGGTGCTCTGACCTGGCTCAATTCCCTTCGCAGCAGCAGCAGGACAAGGGCAGGAGTGGGAGTGCAGTGCTGGGAGTGGGAAGGAGGTGGGAGCAACCCTTGTGGCATTTGGTGCCACGAACAGCTCATCAGGGACATGAGGCTTCACTCTTCGATATTCCCTTTGAATTTGCTTCCCAGTAATTTTTTCACTTAGTTGTTGGCCTGACTTGAGATGTTAGAGCTGTTCAATGCATGGTATCTCTTATGGGTTTTGCTTCTTTTTCTCTGTATTTTATCAGCTATAACGAAGAATCAGTCCTGAAGGAACTGACTTAACCATTTATTTTGCCTAGAGGAGTCCAAGGCTTCTGTTCCACAAGTCAAAAGCTTCCATGTAGCCAAAGTGAAAGGCCATAGGGAGGTAATTAATTTTCCTCTGCTTCTTACCCTATATTAACTAACTGACCTTTTGTGCTTTTTGCTGACAGGTTTTGAAGGAATCCCTGCGGCTGTACCCGCCTGTGGCAGGGACATTACGCTGGACAGATAAGGAGCACGTTGTCGATGGCATCAGAATTCCTGCAAAGACAACACTCATTGTGAGTCCCAGCCACCAGCAGCAGCTTTTAGCTGCTGCAGTCGATCCAAATGTAATGGATCTATGTATCAGACAGCCAAAATCCTCCCTGGGCGTGTTTCTACAGGCCTTACTGAAATTTTGACCAAAACGGGGGTACGAATTGGGACTCTGGATCGGTTTTGCCTGGGGAGTGGAAGGCAGTTACGGGTTTGTACCTGTGACAGCAAAGAGTCATTCTCGGTGTGCTGCTCCTGACTAACACAAATAAACTTTTTCTTGACAGTTCAGCAATTACATAATGGCGAGGCTGGAAAGGTACTTCAAGGATCCACTCACTTTCAATCCAGACCGATTTAGCAAAGATGCGCCTAAGTGAGTTTCTTTTCACTGTCAGGTTATTAAATATTTAATAACGAACCATTACAGGAAGAGATTTCAAGGGGAAGAAAGCAGAATAAAACTATATTTCCATTCCCATATGAATAACAGTAAAACCTTATCCAAATGCAAATAGAGAGCAATAATGTGCGGCTTCTGTTCAGAAGTTCTTTATACCACACAATACCTTATAAAAAAAGACCAGTATTAGTGTTATTTAGTGGTTTTGTTGAGGTAAAATACCCAAGGTTTGGGCCAAAACCAGGTTGGATATTTGCCTTAATGCAATACAGATACTTAATGCGTGGCAGCCCTGGCCCCAGGATGCTTGAAGTGTCTCTGGGTTAGAGGGGGCACAAGGGGAGAGAGGACATGGGGCCAGGGCACAGAAGATGCTGTTTGGCCACATGGGCAGGCAGCCTAAGCCTAACTAGAAGTGGGGAGTGCAGTAGGAGGGACCAGTGCTGATCCCTGCATTTAACTACTTCATCAGCCAGGAGTTTTACTTCAGCCTGGAGTTAATCTGGTCTCCTGAACCAAACGCTCACTCACGTGGTTCAGAGCTGCCCAAAGGAGCAATAATTGGGTGGATCATTACGTCACCATGATGGGCTGGAGAGCATTTAGAGTATGCTTGACGTTCAGCTTTGAAATAAGGTTTAAAACAGCTCTATGAGCTGAGCCGTATAGTAAGCGGAAACAATGAGGAAACTTGCTGCAGAGCACTATTGCTGCTCTGAAGCAGAAAAAAAATGTTAATTTTGGAGATTGTCTTAACGAGTCAGTCAGGTGGCATGGTATTTAGACCATTTCCTTGCTGCTGTGGTGAAATATTAGTTTTGTTTCTTTGCAACCAAGCCATCAGAATGATGGATTTGAACATTTTTCTTTGCAGGCCCTATTACTGCTATTTCCCATTCTCTCTGGGACCCCGATCCTGCATCGGGCAGGTGTTTGCACAGGTGAGCACAGGCCTGGAATGATGCTTTGTAGCAAGCACTGGGCCAGCTCAGGGTATGCTGACTGTGGCTAATGGTGGGGGGCCAAAGGCCACACTGATGGTGTGCTGACCATCCTTCCTCTAGAGGGAAGATCACCACCGCGCCCACAACAGGGCAGGTCTCCCAAATGCTATTACTTGAGCAGGAGCAGACATAGATGTACCCAGCTGGTCCCATGTCATCCGTGCCAGCATGCAGCCAAGGTGACTCCAGGGGGGAAGGGGCAGCTCTGAACTGTCCTGGGTCACGCTGCTTAGATCCAAACCGACTGTGAATCGCAGTCAACATCCCTTTGTCAGCCAAGGTCAGACGCAGGGACTCCTAGGGACCATCCTATGGCTGCAGCCCTGCTTAGATCCAAACCGACTGTGAATTGCAGTCAACATCCCTTTGTCAGCTGAGATCAGAGGACTCCTAGGGACCATCCTATGGCTGCAGCTGGCAGAGTCAAGGCAGGGGAAACATCAGCTGGCAGAATGGCACAAGCCAGTAGAGGGTGAGGAGGAGGCTGCGTAGATGGAACAATTTAAGGAAGTCTGTCATTACCTGAGCGTGGCAAAGAGGCTGGCAGAGTCAAGGCAGGGGAAACATCAGCTGGCAGAATGGCACAAGCCAGTAGAGGGTGAGGAGGAGGCTGCGTAGATGGAACAATTTAAGGAAGTCTGTCATTACCTGAGCGTGGCAAAGAGCATTTCAGAGGGACAGCAGGAGGGCAGCTCTTTGGGTGTGCTGTTGAGCTCATCTAAGACCCAGTGCTCAAAATCTTCATATTAAAGTTCTTGGTTTTACCTCGGGTTTCCAAAAAGGGGTTAGCACATGAACACGGGGCCAGATCTTTGTGTCTGTCACTTATCTTCAAACCCAGGAGGCCCCAGGCAACTGTTCTTCATGCCCAAACTCAGTAGTATTAAGAGTAACATTTAAGTTTTACATCTCTATATTGACAAAGCAGCATGACTTAAATACACTGACATTAAGTAGCTGCAGTCCAAGCTGTATTTGCTGTTACTGATGATAATTTTACTTTTTTTCTTAACAGATGGAGGCGAAAGTGGTGATGGCAAAACTGCTGCAGAGGTTTGAGTTCCAGCTGGTACCAGGGCAGAGGTTTGATTTCGTGGAGGCTGGAACCATTAGGCCACTAGATGGAGTAATATGTAAATTAAAGCCAAGGAGCCCTGCAAGAAGCTGCTAGGAGTGACTACTCAGGGATGGGAGCATGACATGGTAGTCGTAGCATTTCTCCTGATTTTGAAGATCATCACACTAATCAAAGGTTAGATTTTTCAGACCCCTTTAGAAGATTATTAGACTGAAATTTTTCCTAGCCTCATCATTCACTGAAGAAAACCTTAGGAGAGTCACTTTGGATATGTTTGAGCATCTTTGATCTGGAAACATACCTACAATTGCAAAGCCTGTTATTTTCCTGGGGGGAATATTTGGTTTGACCAGACTTGGAAAAGAACATCCTTTCACTGGAGTGTTCTAAACTCAAATCCTAGCTGATAGTTTCCATTAACTTGACTTATAACACAATGTGGTCTAAGTTAGCCCTTGTTTGGGGAATTACATAGTAGAGCTCAAGATTTGGGATGAACTTGGGAAGAGAAGTTTAGTGCTGTTCTCTTGGTCAAAGTGATTTTCCCATCCTCCCTCTAAAAGAGAACGATTGATAGGAGCAATCTGAAACAAAAGTCAGAGACTGTGGCCAGTACTTTTCGCTGTTGCTTGTGCCTCATTTTTCTTCATTCTGTCCTACTTCCAATATTTTCAGAGTGCAGATTCCCAATCCATGCTGTAGAAAGGGGACCTCCTGCATCCTCCTACCCCTTCCCACAGCCCATCCTCATCTCCTGAGATGCTGTTCTCTCGAGGGGGTCTTGTTGGGTTCATTTTAACCTGGTTCATTTTCCCCATCTGGCTTATCGCAAAGGTACATGAATGCTTGGACCAGGTGGTCTAGTAGGTACAACAGGGTTGGAAGTAAGTACCTAGAAACAAATGCTGCTGAAAATGATACTACTGCTGAAGAAACACCTCTGCGATTTGGGCCAGAAGCAGGAGAAGGTTCTGCACCCCCATTTTCTGCAGCTGTGCCAAAATTGCTCGCTGCGTGAAGGCTTGAAGCCTGGCTCTGCTAGAGAAAAAAATGATCGTGTCAAAACCACCTAATTCCAGAAATAAGTGGATAGTTAATATGAGCTTGGGCCCTGAAGTATAAGGAATTCAAGACATTTGGTGCTGCCACTTTGAATTAAAATGGCAAGAACCTGGTCTGTATGCTGTCAAATTCATGTAGTGGTTTCCACACCAGGGGACTAACATCCCAGAGCTTTCCCTGGTTCAGCTGCTGCTGTGCACTGTCTCACTGAGTGCAGCAGTGGGATTGCAGCCAGTAAGGTTTGTGTGGCATTTGATAACGTAAGCAACGTTACACGGTGTGTGAATGTGACTTACAGCCAGAGGTGCCAATACTTGTATTGCTAGGGAAGGTTTAGTCCATCTATTGGTAGACCAGTAGACCAGCTCTTCAGTCCCTTGTGCTGGAGATGTGATTATATCCTCCTAGACATTAATAAAATCTGGTTGGGAAAACTGAGGATTCCGACAGTGTGTTCCTGGGAACTGGTGGGGTCGGGAGCAGGATGCTCGATACCAGTCAGGCTTGAGGTGCTGGTGGAGTAACAAAAACTGAAGCCCGGGAGTGTGTCAAAGGGAGGGAAGTATCTCAGCAGTTCAGGGAGTGGCGGGCGAAGCTGTGAAGAAGTTGACAGCTCGACAGACACGCTGGTGAACCGTGCTGTGGAGATGTGAGATGCCACCATGTCAGTTCTCCCCTCTGCTAATGAATGAGATAAGATGCATTAGTTGCACAAATGTGTTCCCTTCTGCTACCTCCACAAAGGGGACGGGCATCTCCAAGGAGGGCTCAAGGGGGGTGGTAGCATGTTAAAACCCTGCACTGAGTTTTGTTGTACCTCATCTGCTCGAGATCAGTGCTTCTTTCCCTCAGAGGATGCTCCTCCTGCTCTCTCTGCAAGCCCAAATGCCATCCAGCTCTCCAGGGACTGCTGACACAGGCCTTTCTCCTGTGTTTATGCCCAAGAGCTCTTGCCAGACCTTTGTCTGTCAATGCTGATTGCTTTCCAGCAGATGGCAAGCTCTCCTTGTCGATGCACCCAACAGGATCAGTGCTCCTCAGCCTTGTCAGCTCCTTCTCTTGAGAGACAACCTGTCCTGGGCTCCTCCAGGGCATCATACGGCAGGAGTAGATGATGCCCTGTGAAGTTGCACAAACACTCTGCAGTGCTCTTGCTGGTTCATCCTGCACTCCAGGCCAGGAGGTGATCCCTTGTCTGCCAGAAAAAAAAAGGAGCAGGTACAGGAGAGCTGCTCCCTGGGGCTGTGCATGCCAGTCGGGTGCTGACACAGGCTCTGCCAAACCCCTGTTGAGGAGCTTCAGGCCACAAATGCCCAGGAAGACCCAGCCACATGCCATAGGGTATGAAGAAGCTGGAGGCTGCAGCTTTCATGGACAGCACGGAGAAGGATAGTTTTTCCTTATTCTGGGGAGGAACGTTATTTCACTTCTGGGCAAGCAATCCTTATCTGCGCCAAGCACTCTGGCAGGGATTGTGAGTGATGAGGCAGAAAAGCAGAGCAAGGTCTGTCTCCCCTTCGCAGTACTCTTCCCAGCTGCTTGTAAGAGCAGTCCCTTTTCTTCTTATTCTTTTCCTGGCTCTTGGGCAAAGCAAAAAAAAATATAATCTGGAAAAGGCTGGTGGTATGATTTTTCCCTGGGTGCCTTCCAGCAGGGCCCAGCACAGCCCCCTGTGGCATTCCTGGAGGCTGGATGCAAAAGGGCTTCTCAGTTGACACGGGGCTGCAAAGCCAGGCTGCTGAGGATGGCTCCTGCCCTTGCATCCTGCAGGTAGGAGCCTGCTCTCCAGTAGCTCCTCTTGCTTTCCCCCTCCCCACATGTCCATGCTTGCAGATGGACAGGAACTCTTTGGAAGCAGCCAGAAGCTCAGCTGGCAGGAGTCAAGGTAAGCAAGATGATTCAGGGATTGGAGCATCTCCCTTATGAGGAGAGACTGAGAGAGCTGGGACTCTTTAGTCTGGAGAAGAGAAGGCTGAGGGGAGACCTTATCAACGCCTACAAGTATCTCAAGGGAGGGTTGAAGGAGGAGGGAGCCAGACTCTTTTCAGTGGTTCCCACCGAGAGGACGAGGGGCAACGGGCACAAGTTGGAACATAAGAGGTTCCACTCAAATATGAGGAGAAACTTCTTCACGGTGAGGGTGACGGAACCCTGGAACAGGCTGCCCAGGGAGGTTGTGGAGTCCCCTTCTTTGGAGATTTTCAAAACCCGCCTGGATGCAGTCCTGAGTAACATGCTCTAGCTCTAGGCAATCCTGCTTCAGCAGGGGAGTTGGACTAGATGATCTCTATGGTCCCTTCCAACTCTAGAAATTCAGTGAAATTCAGTGAAATTCAGTGAAACTGCCCCCAAAGGTGAAGGTACCGATGGCAACACTTGGTCCTAAGTCTTTATCAGAGGTGTCTAAGTCTTCCTCCTGTTCTGACGGGTGGTTGCTGCAGGTTTCTTTGATGCCCCTCCCAGGCCTATAAACTCTTTGCCTCCCTCTTCTGGATTGATGCCCAGGACTTTCATGTATGTGCTTAGGGTGAGGACTTTCCCCCAGGTTTTTTCTGCTAACCCAAGAGCTTGATCTTATCCCTTTTATGTGAGCATCATAGACAAGAAACAGGGAACAGGCTGCTGCCTAGAGACAGGAGAGAACCAGTTAGGGGTCATACACCCAGAGAAGCCTCTGTCTTTCAGAGGAAGGCAAACCCCTTCACCACTGGCATGAGAGGCAGAGACCTTTCTCACCCCAGCTAGTCTGGAGCACCCCTACACCTCATGTACAAACTCTGTCCCTGGCACTGAGGTGGACTGGTACAGAACAGCTGTGTCTATTGAGCTCTCTTATACTTCAAAATATGGTGGTCATATTCAACCTGTGTATCAGGAATGGTGTCTGGCACATCTTGACTCCCAGATCATATGAGGAACTGTCAGGAGAGTGCTAGTGGCCAGGGGCTAATAATGTGGCTACGGGGAAGAGCAAGTGCCAGTGTCCTAGGAATGTACCTGGCACTTAAACTTTTCAGGTCTGTACTGGTCTGAAGACTGTTCATCTTTAGACCCAGTCTGTACTGGTGGACCCACCTACCTAGTTATGGTAGGGCATTTAGTTCCAGTACAGAACTTCTCCCTCATCCTTTCTCTTCAGTTCCATGCCTCCCTCCTCTCAGCGATGCTGCTTTCCACACATCTCCTCTCTTTCACTCTAGAAACATCACCTCCTGTCCTTCTCCTCTTTGGTCCACCTATAGGATTTGCTTTTTATCTACAGTGCCCCCACACTGAGGTCTAGGTGATGGTCTTGGACTCTTTACCCCATGTCAGTGTCCTCACTGGACTGGTGCAAGCAAGTACCTCCAGTACCGACCCATTATACAAATATTAAAAGGACTACTTCCTTCTTTTCAAATGGACTTTATTCAGTTACCTTTGCTCTCACTCCATTTCCTCAGAAGATAACAGTACTGTACCCTACAAGCAGAGACTGGAGCAGCTCCAGTGTCCGAAGCACCAGCAGCATCCAGTAAGAGGTTATGCTGGATCCACCCCAGGGACCCTAGCAGGGGATACTGGTGCCAAGCACAGAGGAAGAGTCCAGTTCCACGGGGCGTTTTCAGCTCTTCTGGTAAGGTTTAACCCTTGTCTCTCTCACCAGCACCTTCCATCTTTTCCTCCTTACCTCCTCCCCCCTTTTGTTTGCTCAAATCCTCCAAGGAACTAAAGGACACTCAAATGACCACCTACTCCTCTGTGACATCCTTGCGGCAGCACTTCATGGTGTTTCCCATTGAAGGTGTCAGCTCTACCAGGCGAGGCCACCTCTTGTGCCATTGTCTGTGAGAAGCCTTGCACAGCAGAGCCATGATCTTGGCAGGAATCCTTAAGTGCTACTACAAAGCAAATAAATAATCAGTCATTATTATTTTCGTGTATCTGTGAGTCTTCTCTAATAGGTCTTGATACTATTACGGTGCTGAGGACAGGCTGAAATTAGATAATACTACACTCAGCTGGCATCTATTCCCTTGGAAACACAGGTAAAAATGCATTTAATAGCTCTCCAGTGACAATGAATATTCATTAATGTGACACAGAGGTATACTTGATTTGAAAATAAGGACAGTAATTAAAGAGCTATTAAGGTTAAAAAGCAACAAAGGAAATTCAGCTACAGCAAGAGCTGTTCTGGGCTCAGCCTCTGACCGATAGGTGCAGGGATAAGCACAGGCAGCCTGAGATTTTCTACTTTATTTTGTCCTTTTATTTTACATGTCGGCAGACCACGGGTTCTGCCTTCCCTCCCCCAACTCTGTCATCTGGAACTCGATGGTTGGACTCGATGATCTTAAAAGTCCCTTCCCAACCTGGACGATCCTATGATTCTGTGAAATGTCCTGGTGAATTCAGAGCTGATTTTTCATGCCGTCTCTCTGCCGCGGTGCTGCCGCCCGTACCCTGTTTCACAGGCTGCTCCAGTGACATGGAACCCATAAGCAGTGGAGGGGAAGCTTCCTGCAGGCTTTTGGGAAGGAATCGATTTATTATTAAGCAATCGCTTGTGTTCATTATTTCTATTAAAATAGTCTCGGGGATCACTGGTGATGGTAGCTGCCTTGCTGTAATCTCTGAAAATCTCCATCCCACAGGCTGTGATATTAGAGTTGAGTTTCTCGGGGAGGTTTCACAAAGGTTCCTTTGCAGAGGTGGCTTGAGAAAGCGACCTGAGCAGTCAGGAGAGAGGCACTGGCACGGCCGTACGTGGAGGGAAGGCGGGAGGAGCAGCCCTGTCCAAGGCCACCGCAGGACCTAGTGGTCGCACAGCTTGCTCACGGCTGGGACAAACCCTGTGTCACCTCACCCAGGCTGGTGTTTGAGGCCATGCAGGGAGGAGAGCTGGCTGCCTGTCACCTAAATGAGCAGCAGATAAACCACATCTGCCTTTGCCTGTGCCGTGACCAGCTGACTCACTGCACTCCCTTCCTAGACACCCAGCCAGAGACTTCTCAGAGGCACGGGGTCCTGGGTTGACTGACCCAGGACTAATTTCTCTTTCAGTTTTACTTTTCACTAAAGGTCCCTTCTAATGCTTGGGAAAACTGCGCTTTTGGAAGACTCTAGTGCCTGAATTCGTGCAAATATTTCTGTTATAGCCAGCTGTGGTGTGTGAGTCTCAAGGTCTGGGTGTTTTCGAGCTCGCCAGGTGCAGGGATGAGGAGGAGCGAGATTCGGGCACTTGGCCCAAGCTGGCCAACAGGGTCGTTTCATACCATGGATGTCACATTTCATATAAATGAGAAAGTTTGCTGAGAAGCTCTCTCTCTTCCTTGATGGCTGCAATCATGACAACTCCTTGCCCCGGTGCCGGACCCCTGAGCCCTTCCCTTCCTCCCGAAGCTGGAGGGCTGGCAGTGTCCTGCATCTGCTGTCCCTGCTGGGAGAATGGGCTGAGTGTGATCCTTGGATGTTTTATATTGGTATCGGGATCGATATTGCTTCTTTAGTATTATTAATGTTAATTATCTAGTCTTGTTCTATAAATCTGTTTATATTTCAACCCTAGGATTTCCTTGTTTTTTCCCGATTCCCCTTCCTGGGTGGGGAGGGGTCATCAGGTGACAGAATAGTTGTCTAAACCACAATAAATTGTTGCGGGTTCCTCCAACGGTTACCCACAGGAATGTGATGTCTCAGTTCCTAATTCCTATCTAACTTTAATCTGTATCACAGAATGATAGAATGGTTAGAGTTGGAAGGGACCTTAGAGATCATCGAGTTCCAACCCCCCTGCCATGGGCAGGGACACCTCCACTAGAGCAGGTTGCTCAAAGCCCCATCCAGCCTGTCGGGCACTTGGCCCAAGCTGGCCAACAGGGTCGTTTCATACCATGGATGTCACATTTCATATAAATGAGAAAGTTTGCTGAGAAGCTCTCTCTCTTCCTTGATGGCTGCAATCATGACAACTCCTTGCCCCGGTGCCGGACCCCTGAGCCCTTCCCTTCCTCCCGAAGCTGGAGGGCTGGCAGTGTCCTGCATCTGCTGTCCCTGCTGGGAGAATGGGCTGAGTGTGATCCTTGGATGTTTTATATTGGTATCGGGATCGATATTGCTTCTTTAGTATTATTAATGTTAATTATCTAGTCTTGTTCTATAAATCTGTTTATATTTCAACCCTAGGATTTCCTTGTTTTTTCCCGATTCCCCTTCCTGGGTGGGGAGGGGTCATCAGGTGACAGAATAGTTGTCTAAACCACAATAAATTGTTGCGGGTTCCTCCAACGGTTACCCACAGGAATGTGATGTCTCAGTTCCTAATTCCTATCTAACTTTAATCTGTATCACAGAATGATAGAATGGTTAGAGTTGGAAGGGACCTTAGAGATCATCGAGTTCCAACCCCCCTGCCATGGGCAGGGACACCTCCACTAGAGCAGGTTGCTCAAAGCCCCATCCAGCCTGGTTCTGAACACCTCCAGGGATCCACATCTCTCTCCGGGCAACCTGTTCCAGTGTCTCACCACCCTCACAGCAAAGAATTTCTTCCTAATATCTAATCTGAATCTCAGGGTGACGGAGCCCTGGAACAGGCTGCCCAGGGAGGGTGTGGAGTCCCCTTCTTTGGAGATTTTCAAGACCCGCCTGGATGCAGTCCTGAGTAACATGCTCTGACAAGCTCTAGGCAATCCTGCTTCAGCAGGGGAGTTGGACTAGATGATCTCTATGGTCCCTTCCAACTCTAAAAATTCAGTGAAATTCAGTGAAATCCCCTCTTCCAATGTAAAGCCATTACCCCTTGTCCCGTCACTACGCTTCACCCACTCCCGAGGGTTTCACCTCCCCCGGCGGCCTCCCGCGGTACCTTTGGGAGGACGGAGGAAATTTCACGCCGGTGAAATCCGCGTCTTTGGCTACCGGCAGCCCCCGTGGGAGGGGAGGGAGGGGAGGAGCGGGGCGGGCGGCCAAGGGGATGCACCGCTCCCTCCCGGCACCCCCGCTTCCCACCCGCGGCCACCTCTCCCGGGCGGGGTGTGGGGTGCGGGGGGGACCGGGGGAGAACCGCCCGTCCCGTCCCATCCCGTCCCGTCCCGCCCCCTCGGCGCCGTTGGGCTCCCCGGGCGCGGTGGAGCGCGGGCGGCCGAGCGGC